ACCTCGGGCTGTGGGCCTTTCAGTCTYGCTGGAATACTCACCTGTTGGCTCACCAGGAGCAGGTACAATTTGCAGGCTGTCAGCTGAGAACCAGCCATTATCAATCTAGTCTGGAGTGCTGTGGCCAGCAGTCCCCAGCCCTGCATCCCTCAGGGAAGGATGTAAAACCACCTCATTCTTCTTGCATGTATTCCAATTGYCCATATTGCATGTACTGGTGGTGGCAAGTATCTGTCTGACCTTGCTGCATAATTTTACCATAATTTGTCATCATTTGCCCCCCTCGTGGCATGGTTTAGCAAACAGAAGGCAGCTTTATTGCAGAGCTTTTTCTGAATCAATAGTGCTGCTCTCATTGCAAAACTACACATTTGCTTTTGTTTCTACTTGAAATATTGAGGTTTCCCTTGAAGATGCGGGATGAAACAACGCTCCTATTGCATTTTGTTGTTGTTCTTTGACAAGATCAGGGTTTAGCCACTGACTCTTTGTGCTGCACAAAATGTGTGTTATATAGAAGGTCTGTTTTATCAAAGGCAGAAATCAGGATCCTCGTTACTGAGAAAGCACTGCTGTAATGCTGCCAGCTGGGAGCACGGCTCATTAAAGGTACAGTGTCACACATTATTTTAGATACCTTATTAAGTATTGTCATGAATATCTGGAATAAAATGATGCTCTAGGAGCACCTGGGTGAACAAATTTGAGAAATAGGGGTGTGAGTCATWACAGGAGTTCAGGATTCAAAACAGTTCATGCAAAGCAGTAGCAMGATAGTTAACCTCTCATGTCCTGATGATTATATTGGAAATGCTTTTGTGTATTGCACTTCTGGACTTATGCCTGGTGGGGAAGTTAAGCTTGCTTCTTTTGATGTATTCTGTTTAAAAATTGCTTTGGGTACCTTATTTTATATATTGAATTTGGAAATCTTTTTTCCAAATGGGCACAGCTATGAAACAACCAAGTGCATGGCCCAGCACTTCACAATTGTTGAACCTCATATAATTGGCCTTGGCCCATCAGTGYAGCCTGTCCARATCCYTCTGAAGTGTCTTCTCTGGCAGATCAACACTTCCACCAAATTTGGTGTCATCTGCAACTTAYCAAGGGCGCCCTCGATCCCCTCGTCCAGATCTTTGATAAAGATATTAAAGAGATCYGGCCCCAATGCTGAGCCCTGAGGAACAYCRCTGGTGACTGCTCGAGGTTTCTCAGCAAGCTGGGAGATTGTCTCCTGATTACAGACCACAAGGGAAACTCTAGCTCTGTGAAAATCACCAAAATCTGGTTGTTGGCTTAAAGGAGCTAGCAGCTAAGTCTCTTTTAGSTCAGTTGCATAGGAAACAATTTACTTAAGGAATGTTATCTACTCAGGGCTTCCTGCAGGTCATCCTCCTTATGTTTGTGCTCAGCTGTCATTCAGACCATGAGCTTCCACTTGTGACCTTGTTTCACACATGTCACCACCTCCAGAACCCACCTACCTGCATAAATAAATGGGCAGGGAGATCTGACAAGCACCTGTCACACAGCATGGGCTGGCAGGCAAAGGGGACATCGAGCATGTCACAGTTGTGGTTGGTCCCTGGAATGTTCTATCAGAGCACCGGAGCTGCAGCTGCTCCATCTGAGCAGGATCTCATGGAGCTCCGTGCACAAGGGGATCTTTTCAGGGGATCACAGCCCTGCTTTACCCTGCAGAGCGAGGTCACAGCGCTCTCCTGAAGCACCGAGTGGGGCCCTGGGGTCTATCTGCAGGAAGCTCCGTGCAGGGCTGTGGACTGTATCATTTTACACTTAACACAAGGACTYCTGCTCCTGAAAGTGGCCCTTGGGCATTGATGAACCCTTACAATTAAATACTGACGCAGTAAAAGTTGCCTGCACAGTTGTGTGCGTTTCATGCAAGCTGAGAAGGCACCATAAGTRAAGCAGCTCTTCCACCTTGTGGTTACACAGACAACGACTGCAGAGAAAGAACACAAACCTGCAGCTGATCAGACCCAGCACCAGCAGGGCTATCSCTGCCCAGACCCCTCCTGCAGACTGATGTTACAAACAGGAGCCAGCTTTGCTGTGTAAGGTGAACACTGTGTGCACTGACACACGCGTGTACAGACACAGCTCTGCAATGCCCTCTGGGGCACTGACACCCTGCCAGCCTGCAGTGCTCTGAGACAGGACCCCAACACAGCCAGAGAGACCCCTTCATCCTCCCTGCTGAGRAATGGCCTTTGCTCAGCCACAGGCAATCCTTGGCACACCCATAAAACGGACTGGTGTGGGAAYGGGGCGTGAGCAAGCCACCGACGTGACAAATGTGAACTCTGCAATGAGAGATGGTGGCTGGATTGTGCAAGCAATGACTACAACAAAAAGGAACCATTTACAGACAGAGAAAAATGCTGCTCTCCCCACTTGTTCTCTCTGCCCCCATTTTCTTCTTTTTTACCTCTGACTGTTGAAGCAACCATATAGTCTTTGCTGTTTGTATCAGGGCAAAATTCAGCACAATTAAGTCCAGCATCTGTAGTCAGTCACCACAGAGCAAAGCTGGATTGGAAAAGGAGTAATTAAATGTCAGCTTTGCACTAATGCAATAGAGGTATATTGAGATACATAATTTTGCACTAAAGGCCGAAGATTTGCACTGTGTGAAACAGTGGAACACACTGGTGAACAAACTTCAGTGCCAGTAAGTGAACACTARTGTTTTTAATGGTCCTAAATTRTATTATTTCTGAAGCAGGATTAGCTTGGTTATATAAGAGGGACTGATTTGGTTTGAAGAATAGCAAAACATGAAAAGAACAAGCTGTTTTAAATCTATGTCTGCTTCTCAGACGTTGCTGTTTCTCTAAAGAGCAGTTTATTAATTACATGCTATCCTCCTCCTCMTCATCATCATYATCATTCCAGTTGTACCAGCTGGCATCACTCTACACTGAGTTCTCTTGCAGTAGCAGGAGCTTCCAAAACAGTGTAAAAATCAGCCCTAGTGTATAAAATTCCTTTTTTGTCACACTGTCTGCAATTGGCTGCCAAAATAGCTCCCCAAGATAAAAAGTCAGGGTCAGGAAGTCATACCAGGCCAAAATTTGAATCAGTGTCTCACATGGCTTTATTGCAATAATGCCCCAAAAACTGAACCGTCAGTTTCTTTCACTTTTCAGTTCTGCAGAATGGCACCTGATTACACAAAGGAGATGAACTTGTCTCCTCCCTGTGTATTTTTTACCACAGCTGGCAAAAGAGTTTCTTTTAAAAAATAAAAACAGTAACACAAGAAGTCTGACAGGTGGGCTGTGCAAATAACAGTTGCTTACTATTATTATTATTATTATTATTATTATTATTATTATTATTATTATTATCTATTCTTATGGCACAGACAAAGGTTACTAGCACAAAAAGCATGTGTGACTGTGCAAATTCTGGCTTCTACCTTCAATGCCCTGATCACTGCTGTCTTCCCCACCCAGACTTCCACAAGACCACTGCTGGTTCTCCCTYCTTTTCCATTTATCAGCTCTGATAAACCAGCACATTCTCCACATTAGTAAGTCAAAACAATCTTATCAAAATCAACTCTGCCAGGCAGCATGTCAGCTGGAAAGCAGTTGCATTATCTCTAATTAGAAATGGGTGGATTAAAATCGGTTTCAATAAACTGGRTGTTTTGAAAAAAGCAGCCCCGGACAAGAATTAAAACATTCTCAYACCCACTGGCAGATGCCTTCAATAACCCACAGATGAGATGCAYGGATTCAGAAGCCTGCAGAAGGGCAGGTATACAATCCAACAATAAAATAACTGTCAAAGAAAAAAAAAATGAAATGGGAATTACGGCTGGTCTTTTAAATTAATCTCAGAAAAGCAGGGATCAAATAATCAAATATAGCATACCTAAGTGCCTAGAAAATATCAGGGAGATTTTGTGGAAGCCGTTATGCTTTCTACACATTGACTTTATTTGCTTTGTATTAGCAGCTCTGTTTGCTTTACTCTTTCCCCTGACTTGTGTTTACCTTCCCTTTCAGAGCTGATAACTCCCCCTGTAAAGCTGTGGGAAGTACACAGGACATTGAGTGGTTCTCGGCAAGAAACACCTCAAACAATCAGCACCTTTCCCTTGCTGTACTGCTGGGTGACACGGTGTCGATGTCCTTGATGTGACTTCCTTGACACGTGGCCCAAAGCTTCACATTTTCAGTGATTCTTCATATTTTATTAAAGTCCAGCTGGACCTGGGTGTGTTACACAGGCCTTGGGCAGGCAGGGACAGTGTRACACTGTGACAGGAGGMAATGTCTGACATCAGACACCTAAAATACAGGTATCTAGGCTGCAGTTGCCACCTTAGATCCCTCTGTTGTAGAGATAAATATTGAGGTTGATCTGAAAAAGCGTGTGAGATACAAAGAGTATTTCCCTAGAGGTGTATGATAAGCAGATTATTTCTCCACTTACATCTCCATTGACCACAGAGAGCRCAGAGAACTACCTACACACTTGAATTCTAGATGGCCAAAGGCAGCTGAGCCATTTAGACAAAAATAAAGCCACTTTTTCTGCCATCTGACACGACAGGTCTTGTGTGTCAGCTGCCAGGAGGTTCTTACTGTGGAACAAGGCCTACAATGTCCCACTGCAAAAAAAAAAACACAAAACCAGAAAACAAATTTTAAATGCTTATTTATGTATTTATCTGCTGAAATCTCTTAAACCAGCGCTACTCCTTCTGGCAGATAAAACACGCGTTCCCCGACACAACCCGACACAGGAGCCAAACCCGCRCCGCGCCAATATGGCGGCGGGAGCAGGACTACAACTCCCAGCAAGCCGCGCGCCGTCGCGTTAKTTGCGCTATAAAGTTATCGGTCTCCAGGCCGCAGAGCACGATGGGAGTTGTAGGCGGAGGGCGGTGCGGCCGGGGCCCGGCGCATGCGCGGCGGCGGGGCGGACGCGGCGCGTGGCAGGAAGCGGAAGGGGGCGGCGGCGCTCGGAGCCTGACGTGTCCCTCCCTCTGCGGCCGCTCCGCTCCGCTCCGCTCGCTGCTGCTGCTCCGCCGGCGCCGCCATGGGCAGTGAGTACCGGGACCCCCCGATTCAGCGCCTCCCCTTGGGTTCTTGCTTCTCCCCTCTGGCCGGGAGAGCGCCGTTCAGGGGTGGCAGCTCATCCCGGGGAAGGAGCCCGGCGCTGGGTGCCCCGTGCGGGCGCTGCTCCCGGCCCCGCCAGGCTGAGGGAACCGGCCGCGGTACCGGGGCGGGGGGCGGGATGGCACCCTGGGCATCGAGCATAACCCTTCCACGGACATTGTCAGAGAGAGCTACAGACTGTGCCTGCAGCCCGGAGTGATCCGATCAATGGCAGTCTGCGGGGTCCCTTCCCTCCAGGAAAGCTGCTTGGAAAACATCTCAGTCGATTGTTGTATTACTGTAGATGTTGGAGAGACCCTTGCTTTGCTTTAAATTGAATATCGCGGTCCGGTGTAACTTCTCAGGCATAATCGTGTGAAATTACCAAAATATCTTTTGTGGGCTGGTCTTAAAGCGTCACTAAGTTGCCGTTGAAGTTACAGCCTACAGCGAAGATGTGGAAAGGCAGCAGTAGTTTCAGTTCTGCACTGYTGTCCTCTTCTTGGTTCAAGTCAGTCCAAAATACAAGTGCAGCCTTAGATTTGTCTCAGCAGATTTAGAATTAATTCTTCTCCCAATTCAGAGCTCTCTGTTATGACTTTGCAAATCCCCGCTTCATTGTGTGCTTATTTTAAGACAGACTTCTGATCTAAGCATGTGTCTTTTTGACTAAGAGTGGGTAATGGCATGAGGTGTTCTGTAGACTAACTTGAATTGATGCTTGTAAACAGTGTAGGAATTCTTTAACTGTATGGCCCAAAAGTAGTATATATGCAGTACCCAAGGCACTTTTTTTCTCAAAAATATCAGGCTGAGGAGAAACGACCATGTACTAAAAATTCATGGGTATTGATAAACTCATGTAAAGCAATGAYGACTTTTTTGGTGCTGTCAACCTACTCAATGAAATGGGAATAGGCTTGACTTCCTYTAATTCTGTTTACAGTCCATACTGTACTTAAAACATACTAGCTGAATCTCTGTGTATTTAAAACAAACCCTGCCGCCCGCCCCCCAAACTAACCAACCGAAAATTCCCCAAACTGGGGCTTTTATTATATAGAGTAAATGTCCAAATTCAATTTGTTTGAGCTTTTCCCACTGTTCATTGTGTGTTCACTGTGTCTTTTAACTTATTTCTATACAGTAAAATTTCTTGAAGTGATCAAGCCCTTCTGTGTTATCTTGCCTGAAATTCAAAAGCCGGAACGGAAGGTAAGTTAATAAAATTTTCTTCTTAGGTTTGTATTTGTGTGACAGAAAGTGTTTAGCATTGCATTTGTGGGATCTGGGGTTTCTTCCTTGTTAGGAGAATGGCAGTTTTGGGCACAGTTATTTTTAGTGGAGCGCATGTGTGGTGCATGTGTTGTGGATGTGGTTGTGCAGGAGTAAATGCAGTTGTGCAGATTTGGTTATGTCACAGCAGTGCATGGTGAGATRTTGAAGGCAGTAAAGATTGGAGTGTAAACTACAGGAACTTAAAAATTTTTGCTTCATAAGGTCTAATCTAAGATTATTTGCTGAGATAAGCTGCTTTGTATTATTGGTTTTTTTTTTCTCATCATAAGCTCTTTCTCATGAAAATGTAAGACTCATTTCTGTGGAAGTACTAGAATTACCTTGCACTGACATAAGCTTGTTTATTTGGATTAAATCTCGAATAAAGCTTTGTAATTTTCCTTGGTTTTACGTGGGATAAAAGGGATGAACAGTAAATTATTTTCTTTAGGATGTTCTGTACTTTGTCCCTGCACAAGAAAATCAAGTGTGCTACTATGAGAGTTTGTCTGATGGACTAGGTCTTGTTATCTTGACAGCTTTATCATCTCTTGTTGGTTTTTGGTTTTGTGTTTTTTCCCTTTAGATTCAGTTTAAGGAAAAGGTACTATGGACAGCTATCACACTCTTCATCTTCTTAGTATGCTGCCAGGTATGTTTCCTTTCCTTGTTTTTAAGGAAGAGCTGAAATGTTTTAAGCATTTTATGGAGTCTCTAATTTAATCTCTTGATTGGAATTGCAGATTCCCTTGTTTGGCATTATGTCATCAGACTCAGCAGATCCTTTCTACTGGATGAGAGTGATTTTGGCATCAAATAGAGGTATGGTCAGTCTTTCAGGACCTTTCTTTTACCTTGAATCAAAATTGTTTTGGACATTACACTCCATTTTAATGAAGATAAAAACTGAAGTAGGGAAAAGTAATTTTTCAGTTTTATGTGAAGTCATAAACCAGTGTGGCATTTGTCCAGAAAGCTGTGTCTTTCCCAAATGAGTTTATGGCTGATTGTGWGCAATTTATTGTGTGTACAAAAATTGAGCTTTTTGTTGAGGAAAATTATTAGGGAAGAGACAGTTCCTAATTTCCTGCGTTGTTGCTGTTGCAATCTTCAAGGTCTGTGATTTGTGTTTCAAATCATATTCCTTGAGTGTGTGGTTTCCTGGGTGACATTTTTGAGTCTGTCACACAGAAGATTGAAATTCATAGTAGTTTATATGAATTTCGGTTTCTTGTAGAGGTTTTCTAATGCAGGTACAAAGGTTAAAATTCATGATGGTGTATATAAATTTCTGTTTCTYGAGGAGGCTTTCTAATGCAGCTATGAATTAAGAATGGTGACAGTTTCCTGAATTCACTTTGTCGTTCATTATCATTTGGRCCATCAGTTTATATCATACTTTGTTTTATGCAGAGTAAATCTCTTCTTGACAGTGGAAATCTCTTTCAGTGAACACAGTACTTCTGAGRTACTGAGGAGTACTACACATCCGACTGTCTTCTAACAAGCTTCTGTTATCATTGATAACTTTTWCATTTATGGAAATGTGGAGTTTTAGATCTTCTCCACTGTGCTGTAAAGGTCGATAAAAACTAACTCTGAACTTCACTGTTCTTCCTGTGTCTGGCAGGAACGTTGATGGAGCTGGGCATTTCACCCATTGTCACTTCAGGACTTATCATGCAGCTCTTGGCAGGTGCTAAGATTATTGAAGTTGGTGACACCCCAAAGGACAGAGCTCTCTTCAATGGAGCCCAGAAATGTGAGTAGCCACTCATGTTAAGCCCTGGTGGTTTAGAGTATCTCACCCTGACAGTGGAAAGTGTGAATTTATCATGGGATGAATGGTGGAGTTGGAGGTGTGGGTTTCTGTCATGCTGTATTCTGCTGCAGAGACCTCTATTTCGTCAGTCTTTTACTGACTGCTCTCTGCCTCTTTAGCTGTTCAGCAAGGTGTGAAAAGGAAAAGTATCAGTGCAATTGGCATTGCTCTAATCTCCCCAGATAAGTGAAGCAGTGCAGAGACTGTGGGAACTCAATTTTGAACTGTGATGGTCAGTGTTACCTAAAAATTTCACAATGATTAAGATGTTGGTTGTAGCTGTTTATACCTTGCAGTTCCAAGCATGGTTTTTCCTCATCAATAAGGGGTCTCTGTGCTCAGTTGATACTGATTTTTAGAAAAAATGGGGTGTTTTGTAGCTATTTGATGCTGTACACTACTTACTGATCTGAGTACTGGAAAAAATCACAGATTGCTAGAGTAATGTCTTAATACCCTCAGAGTTTTCAGTATCTAAAACAGTATTTGGTAACCAAACCCACTTGTTTCTAAATGTATTTGTTTCTGAAGAATCTGTATTTCTATTTTCAGTGCCAGATTGCAGACAACAMAGTTAAATTGCCCTTGAATCTAAACAGGCTGTGATTTATGTATWCCTTCCCAACTGTTGTGGTTTAACCCCATCTGGCAACTAAGTTTCACAGGGGACACTTGCTCACTCTACAGTGGGAAGGAGAGGRGAATCAGAAAAAAATACAGTAAAACTTGTGGGTTGAGATAAYTGAAAYAAAGTAAAATGTAATAATAACTGTAATGAAAAGAAGAGAGAGAAAACCTARGAAGTGATGCACAACACMAATGCTCACCACCTGCTGAGCAATGTCCAACCAGTTTCTGAGCAGTGATCAGCCCCTCCTGGCCAACCCCTGCAGTTTATGTGCTGAGCCTGACATTCCATGGTATGGAATGGAATGGAATATCCCTGTGGCCACTTGGGGTCARCTGTCCTTGCCATGCTCCTCCCATCTTCTTGTGCATCTGCTGGCTGGCAGAGCAGRGGACACTCAGAAGTCCTTGACTTCTCAGCACTGCTGAGCAACAACTGCAGTGTTAGCCTGTTATCAGCATTATTCTCATGGAAAATCCAAAACCAGCACTGTACTACAAAGAAAATTAACTATCTCAGTTGAAACCAAGATTCTCTATGAAGAAGTGATTTCTGTTTCTCTAATTGCTCACTGACATACTTAGGACAAATACGTRCTTTTTTCTTTTTATTCCATAGTGTTTGGAATGATCATTACCATTGGACAGTCTATTGTGTATGTAATGACTGGAATGTACGGAGACCCATCTGAGATGGGTGCTGGTATCTGCTTGCTTATCACAATCCAGGTAATTTCTAGTCTTCTCTACTCTTCCCCTGAAAGGGTCAAAAAATSAGCCTTAAGGACAGGCTGTCCCACATAMAGARTAAAAAGGCCTCACTGTACCTCCTTCTTCACATATAGTCTAATTTTTTTAATACATGCTACTTTTTAAATAAAATGAAAGAGATTTTGAACTAATGCTGTATTTCTTTTCTTTCTYTAGCTTTTTGTTGCTGGTTTGATAGTTCTGCTCTTGGATGAGCTGCTCCAAAAAGGATATGGYCTTGGTTCTGGCATCTCTCTCTTCATTGCTACCAATATCTGTGAGACCATTGTGTGGAAAGCATTCAGCCCCACCACAGTGAACACAGGGCGAGGTAATATGGCTCAGTCTGTTTTCTTTAMAAATACTTTGTRCAAAAAGGCAATATCTTTTTTTGYACTGTGTTAACTTAATRCCAAATKCWCTTACTACCATCTTGGYTGTGTAGTGAATCTTGCTAATGCASCAAGTGCTGCTGKGCAAAGTGCAAGCACAAAGACWTTTYTTCTTGATTGATAGTATCTCACAAGAYATTTACTGAACTTGAATTTCTTACAGTGCCTTCATTAAAAGTCAGCAGTGATAGACTGCCATTGTCTTATGGTTGCTGCCCCCCTTACTGACCAAATATTAACTGTTTTTTTCACTTTGCCCTGAAGGCCTTATTCTCCAAACTCCRCTGGAGATGATCTTGTTTAGTGCTGTATAATAAAAAACAGAAGTGAGGTAATGCCATTTGCTGTAATCCAGACAATAACTTGTGTCTCACCATGAGTGACACTAGAAAGCATGATGCTTCCCTCTGTAAATTTACTTTTTTTTGCTCAGGAGGAGTAAAGAAAGAACTTGGTACATGTCAGTGTTTCTAGAGACAGCTAAAGTTATCCCATATTGGGTTATGATTTAGTTTCTAGGCCACTACATTTWAAAAAAATCATGGAAATAACATAGCTGATATGAAGGGTGACAGTATAAAAAGACCTGAGAGTGTACTCAAGGTGCAAAAGACTCAGAGAAATCCATTCTGAATCCCATAGTTCAGAAGTGTGTTTAATGGGACAAAGCACTGAAACTTGGAGATAATCACAGCTCATCTAACTTCTTTTTTCTTTTCCTTTCYAAGGCATGGAATTTGAGGGAGCCATCATTGCTCTGTTCCATCTCCTGGCTACTCGCACAGACAAAGTCCGAGCTCTTCGTGAGGCCTTTTACCGTCAGAATCTTCCCAACCTCATGAATCTGATYGCCACCATCTTTGTCTTTGCAATTGTCATTTATTTCCAGGTCAGTTGGAATAACAAAGGAAGTTTGTATGAAAGTAGGTCTGAAATCTGCTTCCTTCTACAGGAAACGATACATTCATAAGATTCATTGTTCTACCTGCACCATCATTTTACACTGCCTTCTCTTAATCAGTTTCCACAATTTCTATACTCACACAGGAGACTTGAGGCCTATTTTGGTCTCTGAAAAAAACAAACAAAAAACCAAACAAAAATACCCCAGATGTGTGTGGGCATGTGATATTGTCTTACCCAAATGCTATTKCTTTTTACTGGGAAATGYTTCGAAGTCTTTAGGCCTGTRTGTCTMTTTCTGTTTGTTGYTGAAGAATRTAGGAAGTTTTAATGTTTCYTTTCCTGGATGCTTTGTTCAGTTTTCTGGAAACTTCAGGTTTCTTCTGATGTCTAAATCGTTCGTACTTTCTTGTGTGTGTGTGTGTTTAGACAACCCTGCAGTCTTGCATACCTTTTGCAGAAAGGTTCTCATAGCGTGCCCTCTGGGTAGAGTATTTGTACTTGCACAAAATTATTGCAGGTTTCTTCTGTTGCTGTCAATACCTTGCATTTGCATTTTATGGTCTCTGGTATGGGTTTATTTCCAAATRTAACAGGGGATTTTCTCTTGAAAACTTTTCAGGGCTTCAGAGTGGATCTTCCTATCAAATCTGCTCGCTACCGGGGCCAGTACAACACCTACCCTATCAAGTTGTTCTAYACTTCCAACATTCCCATTATTCTGCAGTCTGCCCTGGTGTCAAACTTRTATGTCATCTCCCAGATGCTTTCTGCCCGCTTCAGTGGCAACTTGCTGGTCAGCCTGCTGGGCACCTGGTCTGTGAGTATTCCTTCTCATCTTTATAAGGGCATCATTAAAATGGGGTGTTGAAGAGATGGTCTCTGAATATTAAGACACACTTTTATAGGTGGTCATGCACGCTGAGACTCCTAAATTAGTAATTTCCTTAAATTAATACAGCATTTGAGACCTGCTGTGATGAATGTAAATGTGTGTGCTGCTGCAGTAGTAATGATGCAAAGTGACACAGAAGTGATACAGACCCAGACTTGGCTTAATGGCTAAGGAATAGTGAGAAGATTGGAAGCTGACTGCTTGTTTCCTTCTTCYAGGACACATCATCTGGAGGCCCTGCTCGTGCTTATCCTGTTGGTGGACTCTGTTATTATCTGTCACCTCCAGAGTCCTTTTCCTCGGTGTTGGAAGACCCTGTCCATGCAGTTGTTTATATTGTATTTATGTTGGGCTCCTGTGCTTTCTTCTCTAARACATGGATTGAAGTCTCTGGCTCCTCTGCCAAAGATGTAAGTTTAAAATGACAAATTATGTAAGCTTACATGATGAAAACAGATGGGCTGTTGTAAGAATAAGACTGACTTTCTTCTGAAAAAGCTGCTCTGCTGGTAATCTTGTTGGTAATATTCACTGCTTGTATAAACAGGGACTGCTTTTTTGCAATTGGGGATTAAGATTAAGACAGAATGGGGCTCATTTTTTCATCTGTTTACTGCTTTTTTAAAACTTAAATAATTGTTTTCATTGAAATTAGGAAGTTTAGAACATAGAAACACCTGATCAGTGTGAGAGCAGGAAAGGTAAGGGGAGAGGTAGAAACTTATGGTGCCACATGCCAAGTGCACTGTGTGCAAGGCAGTTGCCACTGAAAAACTTGCAGGTAAAGCTCAGACAGCCATTCCTGACACAGAGTTCTGAGCTTCTTTTGTGGGAAAATTAACTAGAGGTTGTTATTTTTAACTTGAGAGCACTGATAATGGAGAATATAGTGCAGTGAATTAATGTACCTGAGTGTAGCTTCTCAAAAATTCCGTTTGCTACAGGATATTTAACGTTCAGGAGCAATATAATTCTGAAATTGGAAATGAAAATCAGAATGGAAAATAGCTGTCACTGTGGTAGGTTTGTATTGTGTGGTTTTTGGGTAGGAAATCAAATTTGGCAGCCATATGGAATGGTTTCATCCATTCTTTAACAAATATGTAATTGCACAGTTACTGTAACAGTGTGAGCAYTTTCTTGTTTTGGACTTGGCTCTTGCTGCTTGTCAGGCTTCAKGGAGGCACTCACAGCCATTTATAGTCAGGGTTTCATTTCAGAGTAAACCAACATACAGTTTTTAACACTTCAGTACTTTTTCCTGRTCCTAAGTAAWTTTTTTTTSAAATTCATGTTAAAAAGATCAGAAATTAAAGTTGGTAAACCCTTACTTAAATGTTCACTGTGTGGTAGAAAACTGGCAGCTTAATCATCTGAAAGTGTGTTTTCTTAGTACATTGAGTCAATGATGAGCACCATTATGTTCCCCTGCTAGAGTTTGTTATCCACAGTTGTTAGCAAAGTGTTTGCAGGGCTCTGCTGTAACCCTGTGCAGCTGCAGAAATCCAATTATTATCCAAGAATAATATTCCAAGGGATTCTGAGTCTCCTTTCTAGTGTGGCTCCACAAATAATAGTTGGTTCAAATGAATGCAGGAAAATGAAACAGGGTGGGGACCTCATGGCATGGTTTTGCTAACATCTACTAAACCCTCATCAGGAGAAGGTTGGGTGGCAAAACAGTGGTTGAATTATGTGTATGAGAGCCTACCAGTATCCACATTTTCATTTTCTCAATAGGACTAGAATTATCCAAAAAGCTTTACATAATTGACAAGTAGAAAATTGCCTCTGACTGTAATTTGTCTGAAGTTAAAATACTGGATATTTTTAACTCAGATGAATAATGCAAAAACCAATCCAAAACCCAAAACAATACAAAAAATGCCCATCCTCACCAGCATTTACTGCAATGTCTTGCTTCTGTTTTCCCACAGTACTACATTCCATGACCTTGGTAAATGGCACTAAACTTGCTCCATTTCTTGATTCAATACAGGTTGCCAAGCAATTGAAAGAACAGCAAATGGTAATGCGAGGCCACAGAGAAACTTCAATGGTGCATGAACTCAACAGGTGAGCTACACATTCACTGGCTGTTCATGCAAAGTGTTATGAGCAAATACGTGGCAAAGTTTGCTTTGACTCCCATTTTCTAGATCCTAGAACACAGATATTCTTTCAGCTGTGATGTTACATGCATGAGACACAGAACATTATCTCATTAGTGGAAGACTTTTATAGTACCGCTTATTTTTTGCCTTGCATTTAAAGAATTTGTCTTAAATTCTAGACTTTTTCCTGTTATATTTTTTCATTTATATACTCTTCTTAGGGTAGCTAATAATGAGCATTTCACTGTAYTTCACAACTTCAAACTACAACACACAAGTATTTTCTTGCTGTAGTATTTCACGTATTATTAGCTTTGAGTGCTGTTTTCATGCAGAAGTTACTTCTATAACAAGTAGTTACTAAAATCTCCTGGGTGCAGATGTGGCATGGTTTGATGCCTTTAGGTTTTCACATTTTAGGGTAAGACCAATGCACCCTTCATCTTCTAGAAATGTTAGTATAACTTTGGYTTTCTGTCATTTACAGATGACTGGAAGAGCCAGTAGCCATAAGTTTAATATTTGTGCATAATTGCATGGTAGACTGTAATACCTTTTCCTCTTAGTGTAGCATTTTTTCTCCTCCAGTCAGGCTGAGCTTTTTGCTTGTTCACCCAGTGTACTGGCACTATTGCATAGCAGACCCATGAGAGAAGAGAATATTCTGCCACTGACTTTTTTGTTATTTTCTTGAGTAAACGCTAATGGCCCCTTTTCTATTCTCACTTCATGTTTTACAGGTACATCCCTACAGCTGCTGCCTTTGGTGGGCTCTGTATCGGCGCCCTCTCTGTGCTGGCAGACTTCCTTGGGGCAATTGGCTCTGGAACTGGAATTCTGCTCGCTGTCACCATCATTTATCAGTACTTTGAAATTTTTGTAAAGGAACAGAGTGAAGTTGGCAGTATGGGAGCTCTTCTTTTCTAAACCTAGCTTCTCATGGACCCAGGAAAAAGAGGAGGGACATTCTCAAAGTGTAGCCAGTCAGGTGAAAAGAAGTATCATAAACTTGATAGTGTCATTCTATAGAAACACATATTTTAATAATGTTTCCAAAGCACATTCCCTTATGTTCAAACTTTTCTAGCATACTGTTTGCATTTTATAAATTGATGAGGAAGATGTGCAAAAAAAATTTTTTTAAGAAAATTGTTTTTTTAATTATGTGTTAGGAGAGTCAGCTTTCTGACTTGGATTTAGTTCAATGACTCCTGAAATTTTTTTGAGCCCCTTTCACGTTTAATAACCTAAAGCCTTTACAGGTTTTAATTAATGTTTGTTAAATGAATATTTGGAAGGGATTTTTTTTCCATTTAACTTGTTTTTGCAGCTCCTYTGCAGCAATGGTGAGTAAAATCTCYCCATCTGATGCTCAAGTTCCATAATTACGGTTGTAAGCACAAACCGTGTTTCATGTGTTTGGGGTTTTTTTTCAGTATGGCAGATTTGAAAGGCAGTTGTTTCTTTTTACTAAATGATATCTCTAATTCCAAATGTTTTGTCTTGTAATTACTGCACTAGACCTTGTCAGATGTTGAGTATTGGCTTGAGACTGTTGTCAAGTTTCTGTATAAGAAAGGAATATGTCCTTTCCCACCACCTCCTYCACAAGCAGAAAACTCAGGTAAATCTAGATTCTGCCAGAACCTGTGCCTAAGAGTTGCTACTTTGAAACTTGGTCACACCAACTTTGTTATTGCCATTAGTGGCAAAGTTCCTAGTTCTGATGCTGGCTGAAAKAAATTAGTGTTATAGCTGCTTAGATGCAAATCTGCTTGTGCTCTTTGCTAGAGCAAACTTTCTCTTCTTGATGAAATTCTGCTCTCATAGCAATCAGGATGTTATCTGATTACTCATATCTAGTGAATTTTGAGTCTCATTACCACAAAAGAGTGTGGAAAGAATGGGTATTACTTGTCTGTTTCTGTAGATCTTGTCAGATAACTCCTGTAAGGGGCTTATGTGGAAGGCTTTTCCATCCTATAATCTCATGAATTTGAGTGGTACATAGGAAAATACTCTTTCAGAAGGTATTGGGATTCCTTTTTTGAAGATCACACTTTCAAAATGGAGAGGTTACAGTAAAGGCTATAATGGACCAGAATAAAACTGCATTTTCCATTTTAATTTAGATTGTCAGTACTAATCAGGTGCCTAGGACCAAAAGCAAATATTTGTGTATGAGTCTTGTAAATACACTTTTCCTCAATCAGTATTGGACAACATGGAAACCATAATGAGGAGTTACAATGCTGGAACTTTTCTTTGCACTGCATCAACATGCCCTCTGCATTTTTGCATATTGGGCAGACAGTGTGTGAGTCACTGTTCCTGCTGGAGTGGTGGGACTCCGTTACACACCCAAGGAGCASAGATGACATCCAGAAGCCCTTGTTAATACCCTGAGCTCAGATACCAAACACATGGGACATCTGCAAATGTGGAATGAGATGCACCTATCAATGGAAGTCAAACGCCTGGTGTGAGGATCACGATTGGAAAAGGAATGAAAGAATTGGGATGAAGTGTCCATGTAATGATCACTGTCAGCCATTCACTCTGATGTCACACTACGTTCATTCCTTTTTCTGTTTTTCACCTCAGCACAACTGTGATGTGGGATGGGGACAGTTAAAAAGTGGCATTAAAAGGAGAGGGAAGGGGTTCTGATACAGTTCTGCTTTGGGGATTTTTTTCTTTTGTTATATTTCCAGGAAGCCCAATACAACCTTCGTTTTGATAAAAAGGAGTCCACTTCTGTGCATGCAGCTCTGGCTGGGCTGGAGCTGTACTTGTATTTTTGGTCATATCATCTGTTGGACTGGTTGCAGTTTAGACTATTTGCTCTTCAGTGTCTAAGCAGCACTTGTTTTGTTTTTGTTGTCTAGTGGTAAATCTTTGTTATKAAACAGCTGTGTCCTCAAAGCAGGACCTGCTGGCCATACAGTGGATGTTCACAAAAAGAAATAATGCCTAAAAATCTGCTTTATAATGAAATAAAGTACATCTTTGGAGCTAGTGCTTGGCTTTTGATGTTTGAATGCTGTTACAATTCTAACACTTGTAGTGTGTTCACTGAAAGAGTGATCCCCCCTCATAAAAACCTGATCAGTGTCAGTGTGAAATAAAAGACAAATTGTATTTGCTTCAAGGTCTCTCAGTAACAGGTTGCCAAAATAACTGAACCTTGACCATTCCGCTGAGTTTCTCTTTTCTGAGTTGCAGTWCTGAAGGCACTGCACCAGTAAACAGGGGGCAAATGGGGCAATGATGCATGAATTTAAAAAAAAAAAAAACCTGTTTATATGAGAGATACAGTGCCAGTCTTCTTGTAGTGTGATAATTGGAACAACAAAACTCAAAGCTRATGATATTCACAGTATTGTTTTGCCATCTGAGTTTTTAAACTTAAGAGATTTTGCCTTCCTCCTGAGTAGAAATATCCCAGTACTTGAAAGCAAATTTATTTAAAATAACTTACTGGATGCAAGAAGTTCAGCCACGCTTTTGGTAGTGTACGAAGTGATTCTAAAGAGCACCCTGGTTTCTCCCTTGCCATTTTATTTTTCGCCAGGAAACTGGCAATAGTAACTGTGGTTGCTGTAGGAATAATGTCATTACAAAAGGTCACAGAAGTAACTGAGGTCACTGTAGATGTGATGAGTGATGTGCAAGAGAGCTGCAACACCAGGGCAATATCTGAGATCCCCTTTCTGCTGGTGGTGTTTTGTACAAAATTATTGACATGGYCTTTTCTTCTGCTCTGTAGGTTTCATGTGAAAGCTTGTGCAGCATTTAATTGATGATATTTGATTTTGGTCCCTTTTGTTCATTATTCATGAAGCCTTAAAGATCATCTGGTTTATTCCAGTTTAGTTATGCCTAGGGCCTACTTCYATATAATTTTGAGATGGCAAACAAATGAACTTTTCTTTCCTAATTTCTCAAATGTTTTGCGGTTGKTTTTTTTATGCTTAAAAATAAATTAATTCCTTTTGGCTGCAACTCTAAAGGTTGCTGCTTTACTCTAAACATTTCATGACTGTGCTCCCTTGATTTCCTCCGGGGATAACCCTGTCCCATACTGTAAACAGACTGATTTGTGGAACAGAAATCAGAACAGCTCTTGGTAAAGGAGGAAGCTGAGCAGCTCAGTAACTGCTCTCCCTAATTGTTCTCTCCTGCAGCCAGGAATAACAAGCTTTAGGAGGTTTCGGTTTCCCCGCAGGCTCCAGCAGCTCCGAGCCCGGCTCGGGAGGCTCTGCCCGCCGGGTGGCAATGTTACCCTGCGAGTCAAGCGCCGGGCAAACTCTCCGGGGAAAGGCGGATTAAATCTTCAAACCAGTGTCCCTCCTTTTCCTCCGCTGCTGCGCCGATGGGCTCGTACGGTGCAAAAAGTTCGGAGTGGGGTGCGCCCGTATTTATTTGTGCGTCCTAGAACTGGGACCAGGATTGTGGTTGTTTTAAGCTGAAACGCTGAAAATAATCGCTTAGGGAATTTGTAATATTTATAGTATTTTCTAATATATTTCAAGCATGCTTGAAATGTGTCAAGGGGCAGTTGCTGTTACAGCCTTTTYGTCTGCCACTTAAGCCTAGACAGAGACAGTCTATGGAATTGGAAAGAAGACAAAAAAAAAGGAGCGTTTAAAACCAAAATCAATATTCTAAGCTGGGGACCTAATTAGTCAGCGAGACTTTAAGCTGCKGGTTTATAATATGCTCCTGGATGGATCTGCTAAAATTGAAGCTCTTCWGTGGGCCAGGTTCTAGCAATCCTCTGGCCATTGCCAGCGTGGCTCCAGCCAAACTGGCAGCGCTTGGCAGAAAGGAAATGCCCTAAAAATTGGCACCTCCTTTGGCAGCCGTGTCACAGGGGCTGGAGACAGAACAGCACAGACATGATACACTTTGTCATCACACAGGGGGCTGTCAAGATCAGAGATGGGATGCTGCCTCTGAGGTATTTCTTGCTGGAGAATAAGAAGGCTGGGCTGATTTTTCAGAAATAGGAATACCTGGGAGCTTAAAACAGAGGGAATAAATAAAACAGAACAGCGAGGACACACATTTGTAAGAAGCTGTTTCAGACATTTTTATACTGCTTTGAMGAAAATCAGGATACATGGCACATATATAAAATCCCAGATTCCCTTTCTTAGATATTAAGGCTGAAGTGGATGGTTCCAAAAATGGTATGAGCGCTGCTGGGGAATATTAGCTATCTGAAATCTCAGATGAGTATTATCCAYTTTAATCTTCAGCGTGTCTGAAGCTCTCTGATGTTCTTACAGCTCTGATGTGTCTCTTCTTTATACCTGTGGTGTGAAGATTTATGAAAGAAAAAAGAAGCTCCAGACATATGGGAGCAGGGAACAGTGAGCAGAATATTTTGCCTGATCAACTTCACTACATAATTTTGATTTTTATTTTTGTTTAAATAACTTTATCTTTTGGCAATGCAAGAACACAGAATAGTTATTGCTGCTGGATTCCCAAGGGGTGCAGAACTATCCCTAAAGCAGGTAGAGCAAGGACTCCCCGTGACCACAAATGTGATCATTTACACAATGATTTGGGATTGCAGAGCTCAGCTGCAATCAACCCAGAGTGCAGCTGGTGGGTGTGGGGTGAGAGGCCATGAAGGAATTGTGGGAAGAAGCAATGCTGGAGCCAAGGCAGCAAGGGGATGTACCCTTGTGCAGCTGGGATGTGGTGGAATGATGTGCTGTACCTAAAATCAGCGTATCTGAAAATGCTCTCCAGCTCCAGAACTTTGAAGACGGCTGACAACAAATTGTGAGTSCGTTGTGTGGCTGGGGATGGTGATTAAAATGCAGAGGGGCAGCTGCCTGCTGGATCTCTCCTGCAAGACAAGCCCAGAATACCTGTGTGCTATGGAAATCAAKGATTTGTTTAACCTTGGTATCCCAACCTGACCTCGTGTTTCCTTTGCACTGTACAAAGTTTTCTTTGTGTTCTGCAGATGTAGAAATTTGTAAGATAGGAAAGTCTTTTTGTTAAAATAATTCCTTTTCTAAGCACTTTTATCTTGGATGTTTGAGGATAAAGCTTGAACTGTTGATTTTTAAGTTATTAGAAGAGCATTTTTTTAACTTATCCCCCTTGCTTTGAGTGACT